ATCAATGGAACTTCTTAGAAAATACATTCTGCCAATATCTGGCTTTTAATTGGAAGTAATTTATAATAAAATTGATTAATAATTCTTTATTTCTGCCATTTTGCTACTTGTTTCCTATGTGCCTTACATGTTTTTGTTCCTCAATTCATCATTTCTGAATTTTTTGGTATTCAGTTGTATTTCTGTAGCCTACCATTTTGATTATCTTCTTTCATTTTTCTGTATATTTAGTGGTTACCTTGGTTTGTCTGATGTTTTTTCATGATTAGACCCAGGGTATTCATTTTTGACCGAAACAGAAAATCACAGAAATAATGTTGTGTCCTTCTCAGGGCAAGATAGGTGGCACCCATGACATTGGTGTGTCCCATTTGGCTGATGTCGACTTTGGTTACATGATTAAGTTTGAGTCTTTCAGGTATCTCCAAAACTTATTGGTGGTTTGTATGGGAATACTTTGAGACTATGTAAAGATCCTGTTGTTTTTTTTAATTTGATGAATTAGCTTTAAAATCCATTGATGATTCTTAACTAAATCAGTCCTGAGGGTTGCTGGACAAGGGATATTTTCTAACCCTGTCATTCCTTCTGTATTTCTTAGCTGAGATTTTACTCTAATTGAGAATTTTCTTTTCTACCTCTTTTTATAATTACTTGTATCAAAATGAATTCATGTATTCTTATTTTATTCAGTGGGTTGTAACACATTGCTATAGTTTCAAATTGTAATGTGCGCCTCAGACAGGAATTTTAACTTTATATAGTATTGAGCCATTATTCCTAGCAGCAACTGATTGAATGAATTCCACTCATTATTGCAGGCCATCTGCTTTACTCAAAGACCACTGATTGAATGTGAATCCCATGTAAAAATACTGTTGCACAAACATCCAGAATAGTATTTAACCAAGCATCTGAGCACCATGGCCCAACCACGTTAAAACATGAAATTATCCATCACAGACTTGACTGGTGTGGCTCAGTGGATTGGGCATCATCCTGCAAACCTAAAGGCCACTGGTTTGATTTCCAATCAGGGCACATGTCTGGTTGCAAGCCAGGTCCCCGGGTGGGAGGGTGTGAGAGGCAACTGATCTATGTTTCTCTCAAACATCGATGTTTCTCTCCCTTTCTCTCTTTGTCCCTTCCCCTTGCTCTAAAAATAAATAAAATTGTCAAAAAAATTAACCATCACAACTATATCCTGTGCCAACTTGACACCCATATGCATCTCTGTAAATCATACTTATTCTCCATATTTAATCTATCTGGTGGGGTGACCCAAACTTCCATTCATGAAGGGCGATTAGTTATCCTGCCCAAAATGAGTTGTAGTTTCCCACTGACTTTAATCACAGGGCCTGGTAACACTAAGATGCCCTGGGTCTCCTGTCCATATACTGGAAAACCATTTGACAGACCTTGAATGAGCACCTTTTTTCCAGGTGCTGTTCTAAGCATTGGGATAAAGTTGTAAATTGAGACAAAATCTCTGCTCTCAGGGAGCTTTTTTTAAAAACCCTCACCTGAGGATATGTTTGATTTGTGAAAGAGGAAGGAAGAAAAACATCAATTGCTTCCCCTATGTGCCCCAACTGAGGATCGAACCTGCAACCTAGGTATGTGCTCTGACCAGGAATTGAACCTGTAACCTTTTGGTGTACAGGGAGATGCTCCAACTAACTGACCCATCTGGCCAGGGCTCAGGGAGCTTATTTGAAAGGAAATAGACATAGGCAAAAAATAACTATTGGTGTCACTGAGTATGTAACATGTAAATTTGTGAATGTTTTCAAAATACATCCTGAAGGTGGATTCAAGTACTTGGGTGATGGATTGCAAGTAGCAGGTGAGGTAAGGAGGGGAGTCAAAGATGACGCTCACGTTTTCCTTGACTGAGTGGATGGTAGTGACATTTCTTCAGATAGAGAAGATGAAATGAGGATATTTGGGGAGGGGAAGGGAACTACGGAATTCCATTTGGATGTATTAAGTTTGAGGTGGCTAACAGATATTTAAGTAGCAGTATGAGCAGATCATTAGATGCATAATTTGAGGCAGAGGAAAGAGGGCTGGGCAGGATAATAACTTGGGAGTCATCTACATATAGATGATGTACCAGTTATTGTCTCTTAGCTCCACTTCATCATCTCTGCAAAAATTGGGTTGGGACCTTTGAAAATGTCTCCTTTGCCAATTAGCATAATATTAAACCTTTGTTAGCAGAGACCACTGGTGGAACATTGCAAGAGGGAAGAAACTCCTTTGTGGTTCAGGTGCACTTGCTCACAGCTTCTCCAGCACCCAGCTCCTGCAGTGCGTGCTTGTCAGCAGGAGGCCAACAGCTTCCCCCAGCTCTCCCCTTGGGTTTTGTAGTGGAGTGCCTCCCGCAAGACAGCTCCCATGAACAGATTTCCCCCACACCCTCCAGGGTAGTTTTCCAGCCACTTCCGACAGCACAGCACTCCCCATGACTTTTCTGCCACTCAGTGAGCCATCGTCATGCCCTCCCCAAACACGTCTGACTGTCAGCTCGGGGTGTTCTTTCCTGGATCCTCTATCTCAGCCCTAAGGGTAGTGGTGTCTGCTTCTTATACGTGCTGCTCCTATATTGTTTATAGTTATTGCTCCTCTTTATTAGCCAATTCATCGTTACTCCATTACCATTATAATTGTTCTTAATATTAAAGATATAAATTGTTCAAATTAGTGTGCTGTTTTTCTCCTCCTAATACAAATAACTCTAAATACAATTCAGGCAAGATCACCAAAGGAGACACAAGAGATTGATATCTTGGATATAAAGTACCAAGAGGTCTCTGTTATTTTTCCATTTTGAACGGGTGAAGAAGTAAAGGCACACGTGAGATGAAAATAAGGGGGCTCAGGAGCACGTGAGTTCAGTTTGTTCTCCTGCCACACCACTCAGCCACTGTAAGAGGATGCAATTACTTTATATCCACCTTGGGAAGCTCTGGGTTTGGGCTGGCCTCTGCTGCCGGTAGGTCCTACCTGCAGTTTGCAGTGGCTTTTCTCTGTCGGCTACAACCAAAGCAGGAATTCCTCTGCTGGCTTCTTGGGCTCTTGCATATGTAATGAAGCATCTTCTGAAGTCATAATGTTCGAGACACATAGCCAGCCTTCACTGTGTGAACCAAGCTTCCAGTTTTACCTCCACTGCTCTGGGCTATTGTGAGCAGACATCCCTGAAGGGGTTCTTTCAGATGTTGCCTCTAGCCCTTGCATCTGTTGATATTGCAGCTCTTAGATCCACAAGTGGTGTTGGCCTCGGCCAGTACCAGCATCAAGGAGATGTATTGTAGAAACAAGGGACAGACATTGTCTATGCTGTGCCTCCTTGTGACACTACCAAGGTGTTGAAGGTGCCATGGTGGTGTAAGACCAGGGTAGGAGAAAAGATGTGCAGGGTTTGCAGCTATTGGATTGCTGGCTCCTTAGCGAGGGATCGGGGAACCCACCTCCTAAAACGACAGAATGGTCAAGTGAAGAAGCTGAGGGTCATGAACCAGCACTGCCTATAAGCCCCGGAAACCTGGGAAGCCTTGCACCTAAGTGATACTCTTGTGTCATTCCTTGGTTGGACTTACCTGGAAATTCCATATCCAACCTTAATCCACAAATTCAGGTTAACCCTTGGGTGCTGCTGCCATAAAGGGATCAGGATAGTCATCCCAGCAGGGAAGTCCACTGGCAAGGGTTCAGAATCAGATGGTAAATTCAGATTCTGAGGATACCACCCCAAGGTATCCTCTGGGCTAAAGGCCCAGCTAAGGGAAGTGGTGGAATATTCCTGCAGGTGACTACAGAGGGGACTCCTCAGTGTTCTGTCTCTCTGGACCAGTGGGTTTCCAAATACAGCTGCACTTTGAAGAATAATGTTAGGCAACTGGGTGGAACGTTCCCTGAATATGCCTGGAAGCAGATACATTCTGTCTTGGGAGTGCCAAGTGAATAATGCCACCCTCATTTCAGCTAATAGTGATGTGGTCAGCCACCAGGGAAGCTCATATTTTTGTTAGGTAAACTCGGTTTTCAGGTAAAGTATTTCAGTTCCCCCCTCCTGGGGTGGAGGAGGGTGGAACTTGTCTGCTCAGTGAGTGGGTCCTGTGGGCATCCTCTGCTGCACCTGTGGAGGTGGATCCAGAGCTTAGAGAGGGGCTAAAAATGCCCTCCGAAAGCTAGCAGGCCAGATGAGAAAGCTGAAATGGAAGGCCAGGGATCCCAATGCAGAAAGCACTTACCTGAGAGTAAGAAGCACAGTGTCTCTGCCACAGCGGGCTACCAGATGCTAATGATACATGGCCAGAAGTGGCCAATCAGCTATGACATGCCACAGACAGGGCAGTCAGGAGCAGAGGGAGGAGGTGGAACTGACCTGAGAGGAGGGAACGCAAGCCCCCACGACGTGCACACGCGGAGTGTGCACCTTGACAATAAGCCAAGGTGCAGCTGTCGATTGGATGTAATGCTGAGAAACACACTGATAAAGGCATGTACGGAGGTGGATAGACACTTAAGCCCACCCATGACACCATTCCGCTCCCTTTACAAAAATAACAAAGGTGTAAGGTTTGACCCAACTTGTAAGTTTCTTCTAATAGATGTCAAGCTCCAAGTTTTGTGGTATGTTGGGGTTTTATTTCTTGATTTTAATAGTAACTGAAAGAAGTATGGGCATGTTTATTCCAAAGATCTGCTGGAGCCAAGTCACCTGGTGAGATCCACGAAACAAAACATCAAGGTCTGTAATACATTAGACTTCTCTGAAGGTTGTGGCTTGACAGGTGTAAGTCAGGCTGCTACTGAGATCCCAGAAGGCTAGAAAATGTGCATCATAACCTGATTGTGGGCCCTCCTTGTGCAGTGCTTCTGATGGCTCAAGACGGTTCAATCCAAAGTCTTCCTCGCAGCTGTGTTGGAGTTCCTCCTGGTACACAACAGTCCTCTTACTATTAGGTGCTTGGGGAGGGGGGGGGTTTGAAATCTCTGATCCTGTCATGTGTGTGAGGTCCCTAGCAGCCCCAAATGGAAATACTCTGTTCCTAAGGCTGCATTTACTGCAATTTTGTGTAGCGGGTGAGGGGACATTTTGGAAGGAAAGGTAAAAGCTTGATAATAGCCCGGTCAGTTTTTCCTTGTATTTAGATTTTAGAAGATATTCCTCTAAAGGGAAAAATGATGTACCTAATGTTCACAGCTAATAAGATCATTGTAGAAATGACTAGAGAAAAGGGGGAAGCACATAATTACTCCTGCTCAGAACAAGAGCTACCTTCATTGGCATCCTGTGCATACAGGTACTTCACTTAGAAGTTATGTTAGAAATAAAGTTTAGTAAAATAAATCAAAGAAAGACAAATACCATAGCATTTCACTTACGTGGAATCTAAAAAACTAAATGAACAAACAAAACAGAAACAAACTCATAGATACAGAGTACAAATGGTTGCCAGATGGGAAAGGTTGGGGTGGAGGGGTGGGTGAAAAAGTGGAAGGGATTAAGAAATACCTATTGTCAGTTACCAAATAGTCACAGGGATGTAAAATGCAGCCCAGGAAGTATGGTCAGTGACGTCGTGACTACGCATGGTGTCAGGTGCGTGCAAGACTTCCTGGGGATCACTCATAAGGCACATAAATGTCTAACCACTATGTTGTACACCTGAAACTAACATAATATTGAATGGCAACTATAAGAATTTTTTTAAAAAAGGATAAGCTCTGACTCTAAGAAAGAAAAAGTTTCAAATCATGTTTAAAAAAAGAGAAAGCTCAAGTACATGACAGGAGAAACAAAATGATAAGGAGTCAAAGGACAGCAAGTTAAGTAAAAGCCAAAGGAACGGGATGTAAGTTAAACACAGCAAAATGCAAAAGTGTGTAAAGCTAGCTAAAAGGTCATCATCTTCAAAATGATGACAAAGGACACACAGGCAGAGCAGAGACCTGGAGTCCAAGGGCCATGAGCCCCAAGTCAGGCACCCGATGTCCCCTGAGCTAAACTAGAGTCTCCCACTCAATGATTCTCTCAACCTACCAGGGGTCCCTGAAGAAGGGCCGTGACCCTGGGTGTACCTCTGAGGTCAAGCTGCACAGCACGTGTGGTTAGTCCTGTAGGCTGCACGAGTCCGATTCCCGTGGGCTGGCTCAGACTGTGCCACCACAGTGTCCAGCCAGGGAGCCTCCACCCAGCTGCTACGTCATCCTCCACTGTGGGGGGCCTCATCTATCTCAATGCTCCAGGCTACTTAAGACCACACGTCTAAGGCAATCTTCTAGTATTCCTTCTAGAGTATTTGCTTTGCAAATCTTTATAGGTTAGGCGGGTGAAACCCTGAGCCTCAGAGGTGGGACAGTGAGCTAGCTGCCAGGCAGAAGGGAGGGCTCTGCTGGGGAACAGCCGTGAGGATTTCAGAAACGGGCTCTGGGTTTGCATCCCAGCTCTGCCACTTCCTGCTTATATGTCCTCAGGGAAATTACACCTCCACGAGCTTCAGTTCCCGATTTGTAAGACATTATTAGTGTATTATTACTATGTGAGCGTTGTACAGTAATTAGGTCAGGGAATACATACGGCACAGATGCTACAGTGTTTTTGTTTAAAAGCTAAAATAACCAGAGATTTAAGGGAAGCAGTGGGAGGGCGGCACCGCCCAGCACTTCAGCGCTCACGGATTCACTTTCTGGGCGAATCCGTGACGTGACTCCAAGGGGCATCCCGATCAGGACACTCATTAGCCAGGAAGGTGACAAAACTCTGCTTCCAGAGGAAGGGCAACTGATACCCATTTTCCCCAAGGAAGGGTCTTAACCACTGAGGCTCATGTACAGTTAGAGTGACTCAGCTCCCCCGCAGTAAAAAGCGGCGATCCAACAGGAGGGGTTTCTGTCAGAGCTACTGACACAGTCGTGAACCGTACAAGTGACTGTGCAGCTGCGCCATCGTCTTCCCCGGAGCCCTCTCAACAGCAGAGGGCCGAGCTGTCTGCCCAGGCACTCTCCTCCCTGGAACACGGTCAAGGCTGGAGCAACCACAGAGGGGGGTCCACGGGCCCACCCCCTTTAACTTCAAGTCAGGGTGGAGGTTCCTCTGCTAATCTCAGGGAAGAGCCTGTTTTGTTAAGTATGGCATCCCTAAACACAGCACATTTTAAGGAGAAATGAAGACATATTTCCTAGCAAAGTGAGGGGCTGAGGAAGAATGAGAGTAAGTCTCCAAAAAAGAAAGGCACAGCACCCAGGTTCTCATTGTTGACTTTAATGCCACGGGAGGGCACGGCGGCTCCATGCACCAGAGCACTCACAGACAGTAATAGAAGAACATGTAAGTGTTTACTGTGTACAGAAACCCAGCACCATACAGAAGACAATGCATTTGGGGACCTCCCACACTGCAGAGGCAACTGCCTGTTACTACACCCAGTCTTTGTTCCCGCCCCCTCCAGCCCCCTGCCAACCCACCCTTCCCCCCATTAACATGTATATACATATGTTTCTTCCAGAATTCCAAAAAGTGCTTCTCCCACCCCAGCTCCCAGTACTCTGCCTCTGATGAATAAAGCCTCTCTCTTTTAAGGATCATGAGGCAGGGACCACTTTCTTCCTGAAAGACCCCTAGCAAAATGGTGCCCAAGAAAGATGAGACAGGAGATATGCGGGAGGAGGATATTTGAAATTCTAACTGGGATCAAAATGCTTGGTGGGAATGGTTTTTGTTCTGTTGTGTACCAGCCTCATCAGGATCCAGCTGAGACCAAGATCACACAGGGAAGTGCACCCCACCCACTTTGTGGCTTACAGATGTCAATTTCCCAGTCCTCCAAGGAGCAACCCAGAACAGGAACATTGTTAACACCTGACTAGCTTGAGGCAGAAGGCTCAGACAGCTCCCAGAACATCCCAAACTCCAGGAAGAAAATGGAAGCTTTTCAGAGCACAGCTGACTGCTCCTGAAACAATGAGCACTGCACCGCCTGGTGGACCTACCAGAGGTAAAGTAAGGACGGCGTCGATTCCTCTCTTCTATGTAGAGCGTTACCCACAGAACTCCTCTACTGGTGTGATAGAATGTATTTCATGGGGTTTTGTTTCCGTCTTTTTTGTTGCCATTAGTCCTATCCCCTAAAACTTCACCTCCCCAATCAGTGAGATGGAACCTGGGAGAAAAGGTGCCCAAAGTCAAAAGGGAAGTTCCACAGGCAGGCGCTTTGACCCACTGGTAACCACTGGGCTGTTTCACAGCAGGATGAATCTAGTCCCCTGTCAGGATCAGGGAGAAGCAGTCAAGCTTTGGAACCTTCCTTCCTGATCCAACCCTTCTAACACTCTGGGCCAGCCATTCAGAGTTAAAAAGGGATCTGGCGGGGAGAAACCACTTCCTCACAGACAATGCGTTAGGAGGGTGCTGCCACAGCCCACTACAACCAAAAGCACTTTGAAGACTGGTCTCAGCTTCTTACAAGAGAAGGGCGAAACCGGGCCACTGAATTCTTTTACTCTGTTTACAAGGGGCTCTAAGCTGGATACCAGTGTCCCTGCTCCTCTGAGCTACTGGCCGAGAACCTCGCCTCCCCACAAATGGCACAGAGCACACTACCTTGAGGACATCACAGGGGGACAGAGAAACAGGGGCATCTCTAGTGAGAAGCACAGGGACGGCATCCCTGTAGCCCCAAGAAAGTCTTCCAGAGCCTGTGTTTGAGCAAACCTGCCTTTCCTCAAATACCAGCCACTCCCAGTCCTACATGTACAGGCTCTAAAAAACCAGGCACTGTGATGTGATGTGATATGATGTGCTGTGCTGTGCCAGGGGGTGGAAGGGGAAGGGGGCGTCAAGGCCAGATTACTGAAAGCAATGGGCTTAATTATGTGCTCTCTACTCACACTTTCTCCTGAACAGCTTGCCTCAGTGTCTGTCAAAAAATGAACTTGTAGTAGGCAGTTACACCAATCAGAGCAACTTAAATGAAAGACTTGACTGTTAGAACAAGGCAAGAGCCATGATGTTGGGCTGAAGCAGGGACATCAGCTCCAGAGAAGCACGCCTACTGTGGATGAGAACAGTAGAGAGAACACGTATCTCGGAACCAGCACAACTAACTGTACTTTTTCTCTTAGATCTCAGTCTATACCTCTGCTCCCCTCGTACAAGAACACAATATAAGAGTGTGAAAACATGCCCTGGAATCTCTGCTCCCACACAAGGGCCAGGAGGTCATTGCCCCAGGAAGGAATTCAGCCAAGGTCCCAGGGCTTGGCCTTCTCTTCCTCCGAAGAATGAAGACATTTTCAGTTGCCTCTTCCCTACCTCACCGATCTGTTCTTGTAAGGCTGAGACCAGTGAGGCTGTCCTCGCCAGCTTTTCACACGTAAAAAAAATCTCCCTACACAAACAGCTGGAAATGGTCAAGTACAAGATGAATAAAGGGAGAAGCCCTTACTGCAGCGCACAAATGTTACATTCCCACTACTGGTGCTGCTCGGTCTTCCTTTAGGAGATGCATGTCCACACCCTGACTACTAGCCCCAGGCTGCAGACAGAGCAAGAAGAAACTGCAGTGGGAGCAGACCCTTGCAGATCTCTCTCTGAAATGTGGGCAGTGAAACATAATGGAGGTTTGCTGCTGTCTTCCTACAGCTCCTGGGATAGCTGTGCCTCTCACCCAGCCCTTTCTTTACTTCTTCAGGACAGACTCTCTTCTAGAAGCGGAATGTTAGTGGGATAAAGCAAGGTTTGAGAAAAGGAAGGGAGGATGGGGAGGAGAGGGAGGTAGAAGGGGATTAAATGGCAGTAGAAACAAATACAATAAAAATTAAATTAAAAAATAAAAAAGAGCCCTGGCTGGTGAGGCTCAATGAATTGAGTGCCGGCCTGCAAACCAAAAGGTGACTGGTTTGATTCCCAGTCAGGGCACATGCTGGATTGTCCGGCAGGTCCCCAGTAGGGGGCGCACGAGAGGCAACCACACACTGATGTTTCTCTCCCCTTCTTTCTCCCTCCCTTCCCCTCTCTCTAAAAATAAATAAAATCTTTTTTTTTTTTTAAAAAGAGGGGGTGGTTCCACTATGTTGTATAGCTGAAACTAATACAAAATAATATAGAATGTAAACTGTAATTGAAAAAAAATAGTCCTGGGGATGGAAAGTTCAGCATAGGGCATATAGTCAATAATATTGTAATAAGTCTATGGTGTCATATGGGTACTTTGTAAGGTAGATAAATGTCCAACTACTATGCTATACATCTGAAATTGATTTAATATTATATGTTAACTGTAATTGAAAAATAAAAAGAAGTATTTTTTTTAAAAAGAGGGGGACCCCATCAAGGAGGCTCACCACAAACTGGATCCTGACAGATGAAATGGCGGCCAAGAGGGTATTCTGAGCCTCCGGGGAGGATGTTACACCGCAAAGATAACAGATGTAGATGTCTATTCCCTTCTGCCTCTGAATACAAGCCCGCCCTCTGAGAAGATAACCCTTCACGCTAGGAAGGTTGGTGGAACATAGGAGAAGCCAAGGCCCAAAGCAGGGCTGTAAACATTGTGCTTTTCTAAGGCCAACCTGGTATATGTTTTGGCAATTATAGTTACATCTCCAAAAAGTGGTGAATAGGTTTCATGAGAAAAAGAGTTTCACATCTCAAAACAAAGCACGGGACTGTTCTTGGGGAAGAGGGGGAGGAGATACTCCTTCCTCAGCCAGGGACGGTGGAGTGGCTACTTGGGTAAATCCCGTCACGTTCTACGTTTAAACCCATCCACTGAGCACAAGGGAGGAACGAGGAAGGAATTGCCCGAACAGGGTTCAGGAAGTGACTATACCTAAATTATTTTGGTAATGTGGTTCTAAAAAGGGCAGCCACTCTCTTGCCAGGTCAAGAGAGTGACAAAACCTCTCTGCACTTCCTAGCCGCGCCCTAGCTAGCCAGACCCCACTGGCCTCAGGAGAAGACTGCCGTGCCTGGAAGAAAGGCCAGGTGAGTGCAAGTACCAAGTCCCCACGGGCCACAGCCCTGAGCCTGACCCCCAGGAACGGCAGGGGAGACTAACGCTGCTGCACCTCCGTCCACTGGAGCGGTGCCTCCGGACTCAGTCTTCCCCTCGGTCGGCTCTGAGCAATCAGTAGCCCTTCTAGGGAACGGACTCCCAGAGCCACGAAGGGGAAAGGACACCTTCCCTGAAGGGACTCTAGTCCCTACCCAGACTACTCACCACCATGTGATCTTGAACTCATAGATGGGGCGCTTGCAGTAGTAGTGGTTGATGAGGTGTTTGTCACACACCCCAATGCACTGGTGGTCCACGATGAGGCCCTGGGCTGAGAGGTCTGTGACCAGGCAGTGCAGCAGGTCATAAACATCAGCCACAGCCTCCCAGGGCCCGAAAGACACATCCACTTCACAGTGGTGCTCAAACAGCTGCCCGTCGCTCTCGCTCCGCTCAAAGCGCAGAGAGTTGAGAAGTGGACACTCGTAAGGGGTGATGGGCATCTCCTCCTTGAAGACACAGACCTTGAGCTTGGCAAAGCGGGCCTTCCGCTGTACTGCGCGCAACCGGGCAATCTCCACAATCCGCTCCAAATGGTCTACGGGGTGAACAAAGCAGCCATCACTGTGATGGGGGGTGGCAGGTGGGGAGTGGGGCAAGGCAGTGGGAGGGCACAGAGAGGCCAAGTGACAGCAGGATCCAAGAGGGAAGGGACAGATTCCTGGGGGAAGGGACTCTGTGGGCCTATGTAGGATAAAGACTTAAAGAGGGACCCTGGTTCTCTACTGCGCAAGGATGGATGAGGACTGTCCATTTGAAATGTGATTTGATGACCATCACAGGCAAGGCGAGCCTTCCTGAACCTGTATCTTCCCAGTGCGACCAAGAGGGAAGGGCAGAAAGGGAGTGGGATTCTCTCCCTTCTTGAGTAATACACGTGAACCCTGGACTCACTTGTGCTGGTGGAGAGCTAGGCACTGACAGATGCCTTGCAACCCTCCTTCCCCTACCCTCACTGTCCTGGGCAGCTGACCCCTCACCTTTGTAATAGGGCATGAGCCCCAGAAAGGCTTGGCGCACTTTCTCCCCCTTCAGTGGCTGCATGTTCTCCAGCTGCTCCAAGAGGGGCCCGATGGCGTAGTACTGGGCCTCTTTGTACACAGCCCGCACACGTTCCCGGGGCGGCAGGTCCCCTGAGCGCAGGAAATTCAGCACATCTCTGAGCAGGAAGAAAAGGGTGTTGGTGAGAAGCAGCTCACCAATGGAACTGGGCAGTGCCACATAGTGGTTAGAGCACAGAACCTGGAACCAGAGTGCCAGCTATGTAGCCCTAGGTAAGTAAACTTAACCTTTCTGTGCCTTGATTTTCTCATCTGTAAAATGGGGGAAAATAAGAAAACTATTCCATAATGATAGCAGGATCAAATGAACTAGTACATAAAAAGTGCTTAGAAAATACCTGGCACAGAGTAAGTTCTCAATGAGTGTTAATAGTTCTTTTTAGTCGTATCATTACTATAATTAAAATTATTACTGGGTATATTCTGTATTATTATTATTATTAGGTACATATAGTAATAATGAAAAAACATTACTAGCCTCTTAATACACAGAGTGGGGCAAAAGTAGGTTTATAATTTTGAGTATACAAAACACAGTATTATTTATTATTGTATTACTTTCTATACGAACAATTGTAAAGCTACTTTTGCCCCACCCTGTATATATTTTAATTGAGGTAAATAATATTCAATAAATGGATGAATATACCCATACAATTACCACCTAGCTCAAGATACAGAACATTTCCATCTCCTTCAAGGTTCCTCATGCCTCTTCCCAGTCACTTCTTCAGAGGTGACTACTCTATTGATTCACCTTGCCTTTTTTTTTATTGATTTGAGAGAGAGAACACAAATTTGTTGTTGCACTTACTTGTGCATTTGTTGGTTGATTATTGTATGTGCCCTTGTCTCTTCTTGAAATTCATGTGAGTAGAATCACACAGTAAGTTCACTTTTGTGTCTGGCTTCTTTCCCTTGACCTAATATTTTTGATACTTATATTGTGTGTAATAGCAGTTTGTTACTTTGTATTGCTAAGCAGAATACCATCATTGTATGGCTGTGTGTACTATAACTTATTTACCCACTCTCCTGTTGATGGACATTTGAACAGTTTGGGGCTCTTAGGAGTAAAGCTGTGATAAACATTCCTATATAAGACTTGCTGTGAACACATACACCAATTTCTCCTAGGTCAATATTAGTAGAATTGTTCGGTTGTAGTGCATGTTTAACAAAGTGATTGTAGTGTTTTACACTCCCACTAGCAATATCGAAGAGTTCCACATCTTCTACAAATCCGTGCCGTAACTATTATTCAGTAGCTATTAGAGATCAAATGCCTGAACCTAACATCTGAACAAATTGGTTCCAGGAATGAACAAAATCACATTCCACATTTTCTTTTTAAAAAATTCAGTTCTTGCCCTAGTTAATGTGGCTTAGTGGATTGAGTGCCAGCCTGGGAACCAAAGGGTTGCAGGTTTGATTCCCAGGCAGGGCACATGCCTGGATTATGGATCAGGTCCCCAGTAGGGGGCGCTCAAGAGGCATCCACACACTGATGTTTCTCTCTCTTCCTCACTCCTCTCTCTAAAAAAAAATAAATAGAATCTTTACAAAATTAAATTAAATTAAAAATTCAGTTCTTCCAATTCTCTTTTCAGATTCTTTAGCACTAAGAATAATCAGATCCATCAATGGAAGGTGTGGGAAGGACATTTCTGTATGGACATATGAGTAAACACTAAGATTAAGCTGTTACCTCTATAGTTAGTCTACGACCATAATGCTAATACTCACTTAGTATTAATCTATATCAGCTAATATTTATGTGTTATTCCACTGAATCCTTTCAATAATATGGGGTAAGTGCCATCTTATGTCCATTTTATAAGTGAGAGAAATGTGGGGCTCAAAGAGGTTTAGGAACATCCTTGCTCAAGGAGCCACAGTTAGCCTGCGTGTAGACACAGTCCGGACTGTAGTCCAAAGAGCTCCTCACTGATCACAACGTGAAACCGCCCCAAGTGGAGGCCTGAGCAGCCTCCGTGGTGGATGCTGGGGGCCAGCAGGGAAATTTACTTCACCAAATGCCCTAAATTCCTATTTTACTTTATCTGAGTCCTTCACCAACTTCATCTGCTGATGATGAATCATAGGCCACTGGAGCCCAGCCATCTGAGGATAAATGCCACAGTATCCTGCTTTCTGCCCCACACCCTCGCCAGGCCCAGCCACTCTCCAACTACGGCCACCTGAGCAAGGGCACATCAGCTTAAAGCCAGACCCTATTCCCCCTCCCCACAATCCCTTCCAAAATCGGGCCTCTAGGATCTTAAGCAAAGCTTGGTTAAGTTCTGAAAAATACACCCTCAAGGCAAGGCCCAGCCAGGAGTGTCTGGAAGCTGCCAGCTGGGGCTAGCACTGTCCTCCCCCAAACAGCCTGCGAACAAAAACCTTTTTATAGCTCTGCAGGGCGATGTGACACTTTGTTTTCTCAGCACTAGAGGCAGCTGACAACCCAATGGGGAAACTCAGATTCAAAGCAAATTATTTGACCTGAGGCTCCTTCTGAGGATAAAAATGACCCTTCTCCCAATGTGGAAAATCTTACTTGGAGGCCATCACAGAGGTGTAGTGACTGGAGAGTCTCTGCCTCCCTGGTCATTTTGTTCAAGGTCAAGGACCACGTTCATTCTCTAGTCATCTCCAAAGTCAGACTTAAATGGAAAAGAGCTTCAGCCTATCCTCTGGAAGAACCTGGCCAGGAGTCACACCACAGCTCTTTATTTCATCCACATGACAGACCTGCAGGGCAGCTGTAAGTATTTCTCATTCCACAAACAAGGAAACTGAAATAAAAAGTCTCTACATTGTATACGGGTAAGGTTGTCAGAAATTCTTTCTAGGGAAAGGCTATTTATTTTTTGAGATTCTGTCTTTCTTTTCCATGTTTTAGTGTTAAAATGACAGTAATAATCGAAGGTCATTTGGGGTTTTTTAAGACTTTTCTTGGTAACATTAAAGGATGGCAACCCCATGCTGGCACCACCCTCACCCTTTTTGTCTCTTTGTTTCAAACTGTTGAAGGAGGTCTGGGAACCTCTGCCACGCACCACACCTCCTCCCTAACGGCAATGCTGAGTCCAGAATCTGACCCGAGGGTCCTCTCTGAGAAGTCGTTTTGGAACTCCCCCACCTGTAGGTGGGATCGCGCCTACTCCTTTCCACAAAGACCCGTGACTTTGCAGTCTTAAATTACATCGGGTAGAAGCGGTTTCATCACATCCAGCCAGTATGTATTTCCTGGGATTTTTCCAGCTGTGCTTGTCTCCTCTGGAAAGGAAACTAAACTTTTTGATCCAATTTAACAGGCACATTTGTTAAATTCTGTCTGATGTTATCTCCTCTTCAGGCACTATGGAAGATACTACAGCTCCATACCCCATGCTACGGCCACTCCCTTGCTAGGACTACAAAGATGATCACAGAGGGAGAAACATACCCAAAGTGTGTGCCATCCCGATCAATGAAGTACCGGCCCTCAGCATCAGTGGGGATGTAATGACGTCCACTGAACATAGCCGCCAGCATGGTGTCCTCATAGCGCCGCAGGGTGGACAGGCGTGTGGTGAAGTGAGCTCCTCCGATGTTAAGGGGAACAACCTCAGGAAACTGGAAAAAAACAGCTGCATGTTCAGCCAGAGAAGAAAAATAAGAGCTGGGCTGCTCCATCTGCAGTCTTCTTGGGTCTGATTAAAGCCTCACCGTTCACTCAGTCACCCAAAACCCAAACCCAGGAGTCTTTCTGAACACTCTGCTTTCTCCTCTCTTTCCCCACCCTCACCAGTGGCCACATCCTTTGAATCCCCTACCCTGATAGCTCCTAAATCAGGTCTCCCCACCCCAATCCTACTATCTCTGCTCCATAGTTCAAAGCCTTCATTCACTTGTTCTCCTTTCACTTCCTGAATTTACCATTTTTTGTGCCCTTGCTCATGCTGTCTTCTCTGTACAAAATGCTCTTACCACTCCCCCTTTGTCCATCTAGCAAACGCAAGTGCCCTCCCTGGTGGTGCACATTGTTCATTGCAGAAGGGTGCCTACATGAGAGGGATCTGCTAGCCCAAATGTGTGCCCTTTTTCTAATTCGCACCAAGGCACTGTATAGGTTAGCAGCATCCATTCATTCTAAGAGTTTCTATTCAAGTTCCACTACTCTCAGCATTTCTGCTCTGTTGCCCCTTGCCAGCTCCCAAGACAGAGTTAATTAAACACGCCCTCCACTGTGCCCCCACCGTGCCTAACACAATACACTGGTGGTTATTTTCTTCTGTCAGCCCAGCCTCCTAGACCCCAAGCTTCCCGAGGACAGGGACGACATCTTGTTCCCCAATCATGAGGCCACCCACAGCAGGTCTCATAGATTAGATGTTTGTTGAATAATTCCTTCCTCATCTGGAGTTACATTAATCCCCAGTCCAGCTAAGGTTCTGGAGGCAAGGGCAGGATGAAGAACAGGGAATGAAGGAATAGATTTGTCCTGAGAAGCTGTAGGTTCTCCCTAAAATGCTCAGGACCTTTTCTGTTCTTTTTTCTTTTTTTACATCTTTCCCTCCTTGTGATTTTGAAAGAAACAAGGCCTGTTCTCTCTAATTTCCCAACTCTTCTCCTCAAGATCAAATTAAAATTTGTCCCAGTGCATATTTTTCTATATTGCAACATCTCAGTGGCTCCAGTGACAGTCTATGCATATTCATCTAGTAGGTCCTTTTTCCCAACTTTCAAATTCATTGTGAATAAAGTAGGGTCAATATACATTAACTAAAAGTTACCCAGGACCTTGTGCAGTGTCTAACTCAAATATGCATTAAATGAATGAATGAAATAGATAAGTATTTACAGTTCCATGTGTATATGTACTGTTACTCTTCTGCACCCATAGGACAGGAAATGCCTTCTGCTTATCTATAGCTCCTCTAAAATTATTCTATGTGCATACCAAGGACTCAAATATTGTTTGGGGATAACTCTACATTTCATTTAAACCTTTCCCAAGAATACCTCATACCCATACCGATCCAAGTGCTTGCTCCATATTGAGTTTTGCTCATTTTCCCAAGTGCCCCATGATATTAAATGTATGAACTTCTAACCCCCAGATAACACAATCTGCTTCCTCAAAGCCTCACCCAGCCCTGCCCCGCCCCTCTGGGGTTCTGTCCATTCTCCCATCTCCACACATCACATGTTCCCCTATCTGGCTCTACCTTAGTTCCTCCTTCCTAGTCTATCTTCAGTGCCCTGGAGCACCCCACCCTCCCTCCTCTTTCCCCTTCTCTTAAGGGTCATTTTGGGTGTAAATATGATACTGTCATTCACATTAAGACCAGTGGAGGACACCATGCACCACGGCATAGCAGCTAGTGAGGGAAAGCCAGGCAGCTGTCAGGTGAGTGTGGACACATCTACCAGCTGGCCTGCTTCTTACCTGTACACAGTCCCTTACTCCACTCTCAGAGCAGCTGGAGATCGGGTTTGGGTAACCACCAAGGCCTCTTGGATTTTCTAGAAGGCACTATCATGTCTTGGGGCAAGTTATCTTTTCCGAGAAGTAAATCAACCTTATGGGCAGTGAGGACTGGAAGAAGGGGGTTTGGGACCAGGTGATGTCTGGGGCAGGGAAGAGACACCTGGTGCATTTGACGGTGGGGACGGGGCTGGGGAGCAGGGGAGCCCAGCTCCTCGGGCGCCGCCCTCAGCCAGACCTTTGATCTCCAAACCCAGCTGTGCTTACATCCCAAGGTCAGCTCCGCCCAGCACCTACTTTTCCCTCTGCGCCCCTTCCCACACACCCCCCCACCCCGCCTCCGTCCAGGTACCTCTTGGGGCAGCAGGGGCAGCGCGTGCCCCGCCTGTGTGGCCGTCGGGGTGGCCGGCTCCAAAAAGTCGTCTTCGGCGTCGGAGCTGGACATGGCACCGTCCGGACGACGGCTGTCTGGCTCCCGCCCCGTGACTACCACCATCCCTCTGGCTCTGGGCAGTGGGCGCGGCTTTAGGCAGGCGGGCAACGGACCCGGCGGCACTAGCGTGGAGCACCGCCTGGCATGACGCGGGCGGGCGACCGGAGCCGGGGGTCGGGTGAGGGGGGTTGAGAGAGCCGAGCGCTGCGGCAAGCCGCCCCGCCCTCAGACCGCAGGACAGGATAGCCCGGCCGCCGCCGGGACCGCCAGCAGGGGCCTGACACGACCGCCTGCCGCTACTGGCCGAGCCCCCGCTTGCCCCGCCCCTGATTGGCAGGAAGCTGGCCCAGTCCTAAAGCAGGCAATGCGGTCAGCCTGTGCCTGAGTGGCCACTGGAGCCGGCCTGGTTTGCTTGCCTGCTCTGATTGGACTTCTGACCAGCGGGCACGCCCTCTTCTCCCCTAACACTGGTACCACTAGCTGTAGGGGGTGCGGGGGAGGAGGCTACCGTGTCTACGTGGGGCCTCTTGTTAGCAATGAGGGTGGCTCCTGCTGTAACCTAGGGTCCTTATTTTTTTTAATCTGCCCTTTTATTTTGATTTTTTTCCTTTGACTCAAACTGGTCTCAGCCCCTGACTCACCTACCTCCTTCTCCTTGCTTGATCGCTAGGCCTCAGGACAATGAGGTTCTGGTCCAGTACTCTTAGAAAGAAAGCCTTGGCTCTACTGACCGCAGAGACAAAGTTTCCCAATCTAGAGGTAACATCTAGGCCGCAGTTGTGTTTCAGTTCCACAACGCCCCACCACCCCAACCCTTGCAAACCAGACGAAGCAGTGCCATGGCTGACCTCAAGACCAGATGCGCAATGTTCAACTATGCCCCTAACCTAGCTGCTGACCAATCTCTAGAGACCACGACCCTGACCGTGACCCTAACTTACCTCCCTTAGTCACCAAGATTAATGATTTTTCCCCGTTGTATACCCCCACCCCCTAGAAGTTATAGCGGAAGCCAGCATTAGCTTAAAGCATTGGCTTTAAGCATTAGCTACCTGTGACTCTGGGCATGGTGCCTTCTCCTTAATAAATACCTGTTTTCTTGGCTTCAAACTCCTGTCCATTTCTTACTGGGCTTTGATGCTCACAGACAAACAAGCCCCTTCAGGTAACTTCAATAACTAGAGAGATGGGAGGGCTCAGGACCTAATGGTTGGTCTGTCTCCAGAAATGCGAGTCCTGTGCCTCCTCAGGTGTGGAAGGCCAGGGAAATAGGGGTGGAGCTGGGTGGGTCACTTCGACAGGGGTGCTGGGGAGGACGACTGAGGTCACTGAGTTTGTAAGAGAGGAAGGACAGCACTGGGGCATAGGCTGCCCCTCCTTAAGCCATAAGGGTAAAACCTGGGTTTCCTGTTTTTCTGGATTGCAGGAATTCGAAAAAGAAACCTCAAAATAGGGGCAATTGAATTCAATTAAGAATGACAGTGTGTCTCCGCAGGCTCCCTGCCAGCTCTCTCACTGGGCACGTAGACACACAGATGGCAGTGGGTCCTGCAAAAAGAAGCTCAAGCTGATGAGGAGGAAGCTCAAGCTGTTCAGTCCAGTCTGAACCTGGGTATCTGTCTGCAGCCTTGGACACTGTGTCCACAGGCACAGCTGGGTCAGCTCACAACTCTCCTGGGGCTCAAGGTTTTAGCTCTCTCAAACCATTTTTACACCCAGTCCCTCATCTGATCCTCACACTGTTGTGACAGAAAAGGAAAATGAGGCCTAGAGGGTTAGATCAGCATCTGGGAGGCCAGTAATGAGCCAGAGGCACAGCACTTCCTGTGCTGGACCAGTCGCCCTCCCAGCTGTAGGTGCCTCCTCACTTAGTGTTTTCTGCAATGTTAGTTGCATCAAAATTACGGGAGGGGACCTTGTTAAAATGCAGATTCCCAGCCCCACTTCCAGGGAATCTGATTTGGTAGGTCTGAGACGTAGCCCTTGAATTTGCATTCCTAGTAAACTCCTATGTAATTCTGAACCTGCAGGTCCTTGAACCACACTCTGAGTAGCACCACCTTGGCCCCCAGACGACTTCTCTCTATTCCTACCTGATCCAGTCCTTCTCAAAAATATCTATAACAGCAACAACAACAAGAATAAATCTATAAGCAAATTACCTTTTCATTCTATTACAGTTAGGATATTTCAGCTACCACAGGAACCTCAACCAAAAGTGGCTTAAATAATAAAAGAAATTGATTATCTTACATAAAAAGTCTGAGTAGATCCTTGTTTGGTTCATTAAGTAACTTAACAAGGAGTTACCTGGGCCAGCTTCCTTCCATTTATCCACTCTGCCAGACAGCCTCTCCTTCTCTAGGAATCCATATGAGAAAAACACAGAACTAAGGGGTATCAGGGGGACATTTATTCCAACACCGTAAAGCAAGGCTGTATACAGAAAATGAGAAGGGAGCCCAAAGGCTCAGGAGACAGGAAAATCCATGTGTAAATAGTTTTAGGTTGCTGAACATGTTGGAGTTTTCGTCTTCCATTTCTGCTGAGAATTGCCTTCAGGAATGTAGTTTCCCAGTTGGTTGTGTTTACATGGTGGGGAGAAATCCAAGGTCAGCAGCCTGGAATGAGGACTTGGTGAGTGAGTAGGAAGGCGCTGGAGCAGGCTTTCTGGGAAAGCAGGGCAGTTTGCTGGCAGCTGCTATGGCCACCCCCCAACCCCAGTGGAATGACTTCCAGGCCAGTTCACATGAGGCCTGCAGGGGACGGTCAGTGAGCCTTTGAGGGAGGGATTGTCCATGCAGACGTGGCAGCTGCTCTCAGAACACAGGCAGTTTAGCCCAGGGATTTACTTTTCTAAGAGTCAACTGAACAAATAGTTCTATAGGCATCAAGCCCTGAGATTCATAAACTGGATTCTATTTTCAATGCCTTTCCAAAGAAAAGACGTTTTGAATGCTGACAAATCTCCAAAGTACTGATTCAGCTACTGAGTATTCTCTCCTGATTCTAAATTATGTGACTTAAATACATAATTTAACAAAAATAAAGGAAATGAAAGCAGGAACAAAAGTATGCATCTTCTTTTCCATGTTACCTTCTTTACATTTTAATTCTTATTTAAGTATTTTAGACATAAAAACAATTGTAGACACACTGAGTTAAAACTAATTTACTCAGAAACTGGGGAGAATTCCAGTCAAGGTGGTCAAGTAGGTAAATGCTCTGCTCGCCTCCTCCCACAACCACATCGGATCACAATTAAACTGCAGAACAACCATCATTAAGACCCACCTGAAGACTAGCTGAACAAAAATCCTATAACTAAGGGTATACAGAGGAAGCCATGTGAAGACTGGTAGGAGGGACGGAGATGGTGAAGGAGCTGATCCCGCACCTACATGTGGTCATTAAAAATGGGAGGGACATGTCGGCCTTGGAGGCTCCTCCTGAGGAGTGAGGGGTCCTAGCTTCATACTGGGCTCCCCAGCCGAGGGTTCCAGTGCTGGGAACAGAAGCCTCCATAACTTCTAGCTGTGAAACCAACAGGGATTATTGCTGAGTGAGACAGAGACTTCTGGAGTCCCAGTTGTTCCTCTCAAAGGGCCCAAGCACAGATTTACTCAATGAGGGACTCATTCGATCTGAGCTCCAGCACTGAGGCAGCCCCTTGAAAAGCACCTGGGACATACAAGAAGGAATTAAATTGTCTGGCTTCAGGACAAGGACACAGGAACAGCAGTATCCCAGACAGAAGTGCTGGCAGTTGCCATTATTCCTTTGTTGAACCCTCCCCTCAGCCAGCCTGCAGGCACAGGCAGATGCCAAGTCTGAGTCTCCCATCAACCTGGCCAACACCATTTGCCCTGCCCTGGTGATTCCCTGAGACCCTGCTCCACCCAACTTGCAGGTCCACTCAGACTGCTTCCAGAGGCTATTCCATGCAAATGGTACTGTGATGTTTCCTAAAATTTCTCAAAGGTTCACAAGCCCCAAACAAGCAGTGTCTGGCCTCAGTATGCCTTGTACCTCTTGCTAAGAAGCCCTAAGCCCGGCACTAGTAGCTACCTGCCTCAGTTTACATCTTAGCCTCTCCCAGGCTCCTCCAAATGTCGCACAAGTGGAAACCATCTGCAGATAACTTTGTAGCTCATACCTGGTGGCCCCGGGACAGGCACAGACAGCAGCTGACCGTGGCTTGCACCACAGCCCATTCCAAAAGACTTCAGAACCAATGTACCTGGTGGCCACATGGCACCAGAGCACCATCCAAATACCTCCACAAACAACACACCCAAGAGGTGGACTTGGAAGGCACCAGAACCCTGCGAACTGGAATCCTGCTCCATGGGGTCAGCCCCGGCACAACAGCTCCTCCACTAGAGTCATGGCCAGTCCTTACAAGCAGTCAGACTGAGGATCAATCCCTCCCATTGACATTCCAACAACAATCAAAGCTCAACTACAATAAAAAGGCACACACCAGGTCACACCTGGAGCAGCTGGCTCAGGTGACCAGGAGATGTGCCAATGGACACCGACTATACTATCAAGACTGGTAGACAAAGTTAAGTATATGTAATACATAGAAATAAACACAGAGAATCAGCCAAAATGAGAAGAAAAAGAAACCTGCCCCAAATGGAAGAACAGAATGAAACTCCAGAAAATGAACTAAACAGAATGAAGACAAGCAATCTATCAGATGCTCTGGTCAATATACTGGTTATAAGGATGCTTAATGAATTTAGGGGAAGAGTAAATGAAGTCAGTGAGAACCTTAACAAAGAGATAGGAAACAGGGAGAGATACAAAACATAAAAAAGAACCAATCAGTCATGAAGAATACAGTAACTGAAATGAAGACGATATTAGAGGAAATAAACAGTTCATTAGATGAAGCAGAGGACTGAATCAGCAATTTGGAAGACAATATGGTGGAAAACACCCAAATGAACAGCAAAAAAGGAAAAAGAATTTTAAAAAATAAGGATAGTTTAAGGAGCCTCTGGGGCATCATCAAGTATAACAACATTCATATGATAGGGGTACCAGAAGAAGAAGAGAAAAAATAAGGAATTGAGAATCAGTTTGAAAAGATAATGATGAAAAAGTTTTCTTACTTGGTGAGGAAAATAGACATTCAATTCCAGGAAGTGCAGAGTCTCAAACAAGATGAACCCAAAGAGGCCAGCACCAAAACACACCATAATTGTAATACCAAAGTTTAAACACAAATAAAGAATTAAAAGTAGCAAGAGAAAAGCAGTTATTTATGTACA